TTGACCGCTGAGTGCTGACCACTGAGCAGTGATGACTGAGCGCTGAGCGCTGAGCGCTGAGCGCTGAGCGCTGAGCGCTGACGGCTGAGCTCCTTGCAGCCGCTCACACCTCCTGGCTCCTTCCCGTCACCCCCCCTCTGTGGTTTGCTTCATGTGCTCCTTCAATGGCCTCATTTAAAAATAAAAACACATGAGTTTATAAAAAAGAAAACCATCTACTGATGATAAAGGGAAACTGGCGACCTTGCCACCGGCCAACCACGCAGTCTCAGGCCGTGGACAGAGTCCCGCGGGCCCCATAGCCTCAGCTCATCCCGGGCCCTGGGCACGGGGGTGGTTAGGAGGGGCGGGAGTCAGAGCCCTTGAGCACCGGCCGAGACTTTCTGCCTGGTTGAGACGGGGACACCTTTGGCCATCAACCTGGCCCGAGTCTCCCCAAACCATGCGGCTGTCTGTCAGTCTGTCTCCCCTCGGGGGCCGCACTCTGCGCTTGCACCAGGCTCACCCTGCTCCTTCAGCAGGACACGAGGCGCCGACGTGCGGAGAATGCCCCGGGAGGCCCACAGCCAGCAACTCTCGCACCAGGATCGACACCGAATGCCACAGACCAGTCTGTGTACCCAGAGCTTGCAATGCTCCCGCCCGGGCTCTGTGCATTCACTTTAGCTCATTTCACCTGCATCTCCACCTGCCGACATCACACCCACTCTGTGGATGAGGGAGCCCGGGAAAAGTCCCCACCCCCATCACATGGCGACAGGGACAGAGAGGGGACTCGAACCCAGACTGGCCCAAGTCACCTACTCATCCAGAGCCTCCTGCAGACAAGAGTCCCTCAGCCTCAGTTTCCTCATTTGCCAAATGGCCACGAGCCCTCTATGCGGGTCTGTGGCGTGGAGGTAGCAGGGAGGCGGGAGCCCAGGCCAGGTGGGGGATGGGGACACGGTTAGCCGGACTCCATTCCTGGCACCCATGTCGGTCTGCTGGATGGGGCCCCGCTCCCGGGCAGCTGCACCCCGAGCCAGGGTGCTCTTCCTCTGGATGGGAGTCAAAGCTCTGTGACCAGTGACTACAGGATAACAGGAGCTAATTATTTCATCAGATCATGTCATCAGTGGGTCGATCTCTTATGAATTCCCTCGGCTGTGGCTTCTCCTGGACCCGTGCCAGCCTCAGTCCGGATGCTGCAGAAATCAATTAAAAAGGACACAAGGGACTCTGCTTCCACCCTCCTTCCTGTCCCAGTCAAAGATCCAAAGTGGGGAACCGAGGCGGCATCTGGCGACTTCACCCAGCACTGGCCACGGGCTTTCTGCCGCTCCTGTAACGCCCCCTCTCTCTCCTGTCACTTTGCTTCGAAGTCTGCCTGCTCCTCCTCTTCGTCCTGGGCAAAGGCTGCCCAGCCCAGCCAGATGCTGGAAGTGCCAGGGCCCCAGGGTTCAGAAACGTCACTCCGCTTCTGGAACTCTGCCGTTCTGCAGAGTGGAGAGGCTCTGCGTGGCTGGTGACCCCCACCCCGCATACCACAGCTGCAGGGGCATGCTGGGGACCTCGCCCAGCTCTGGTCGCAAAGACCCAGAGCTGGGTTCTGGGTTCTGCTCCGAGGGTGCCAACCCACCCAGAGTAGCCAAGAGGGGCTGCGGCTCCATCAAGCGGCTGATGGGTGCGAGGGCCAGAAGTGGCCAGAGGCCAAGCAAGGCAGTGACCGGACGGGGAAAGTGGGGTGGTCAGGTGCCTCACCTGTGGGGCTGGAGCACGGCAACAGAGCCAGGCCCCTCCCAGGTGGTCGACTTGTCTTCGTTTATTTAGTATTTCTTTTTTCAAATGTTGAAATCGTGCAGAATTTTTTGGATGTTCTTATTTTTCCAGGACATTTTAAATTATTTACTTTTTTACTCTACACTTTCTTTAGGGGCCACGCTGTGGGAAATGCAGTTATAACAAGAGAATCCTGCCTAAGTTATAACAAGTCAGACAGGTTTCCCTGCTCCACCCTCACCTTCTTCCATCAGGCAGCAAGAGGATTTTGCTACAATAAAAGTCAGCGCCTCC